TATATATATATATATATATATATATATATATATATATATATATATATATATATAGGATGAGCACATGAATCTACTAGCTGCTGTTTCTTATGTTTGTTTGTTTTTATTTCAGAAGTTCAGAGGCTGGGGTGAATAAAGCCTGAGGACCAGGGTTTAGATTCCCAGCACCCATATAAAAACCCAGCACTGGGGAGGCAGAAACACGGGAGCCCCTGAACTTGGCTGACTAGCTGAGTTGTCAGGCTCCAGGTGAGAGACTCTGCCTTGGTGATAAAGGAGAGAAACTGAGGAGGACACTGTCATCAACCCCTGACCTTACGCATTGGCCCACGTCTGCACGTGTATCTATCCCCCACCAGCAAACATTACAGACGTGTGAACACCACACACAGAAAAATTTAAATTATCTGTGGTTTGCAAAGTTAGTAATTAGGGACAGGTGGGATGGCTCAGCTGTTTAGAGCACATACTCCCCTCCCAGGGGACCCAAGTTCAGGTCCCAACACCCACCGAGGGCAGCTCACAACTGCCTTGACTCCCATTCTACGGGGATCCACCACCTGTGGCCGCCATAGATACTACATTTACAGTACAAACAATAATTAAGGCCTAGACAAATAGCTCAAGAGTTAAGAGCTTCTGTTGCTCTTGCAGAGGACCTGGGTTCAGATCTCAGCACCCACACGATGGCTGAAAAAGCTTGTAACTCCAGTTCCAGGGTATAATGCTCTCTTCTGGCCTCCACGGGTATCGCACACACTTGCATGCAGGCAAAACTCTCACGCATAAATTTAAACTTATTTTTAAAAAATTACAGACTTGTAGAAACTAATGTTCTTTTGCTCACCCATTCCTGTTTCTCAAGTATTTAAACTAAGTTTAGATTCCCAGAACTTTTAAGAGACGCATATATAACCATGAATGTTTACAAGAATGTTTATAAGCCTCCTGAGATCAACTAGACCATAGAGGAGACCATACTCAAAGCCTTCCGGACGTGGCAGCCCCTCCACTGTCCGATATGTTAACTGTTAGTACTAATGTACAGTTCTCTAAGAATGTATGACCCTGTAGTCAGAACAGGGGAAAGCCTAGCATGGTGTACCACAGCTGCAGCCGGGTGAGACTGTAACGAAGTGCCACTCACCTCAAGTTTCTCAATGAGAATTGACAACTAACAGTACTGTTGGCTTGTGTGTTACAAATGAGAGGACCTTCCATGAGAGCCTGGAGTGAAACCAACATGCAATACACAGCACCAACGATGGTGATCACACTCAGGAGCGATGAAAGAAACATCTGGAAAACAAAGCAGGGACATTTGCACATGTCATATGTCCTTCATCTGTTTCAGGTCAGACACGGCAGTGTGTGGCACTTAACTTAGTCAGTTACTGACTGCAGTTCTCCAGTCTATGGTCCTAGATTTTTTTTTTCTTTGTTGTATATGTCTGTGTGCATGTGTGTATGTATGAAGGGTGTGAACCAGAGGTTGGTGTTGGGTGTCTTCTTTGTCACTTCATTCTTCACCTTGTTTTTGAGACAGTGTCTGTCACTGAACCTGGAGCTCGACTATCTCACTAAGCTGGCTGGCCCTGGGCTCTGGCATCTGCCTTTCTGCCCCTGGAACACTGGGGTTATAGGGAGGTGCCACTGTGAGCCCTAGGGATCCAAACTCAGATCCTCAGGCTTAGCTGTCAGACACGCCCTGACTTAGCCATCTCCCTAGCCTTGGGTGCAGTGGGTCCTAAGTCTCCAGACTGCAGCTTAATTAGGTAAGAATTTATGAAAGGGGCAGAGATCAAAGTCTGCCATTGAATTACAGTTGCCAAAAGAAAAATCTCAACTTTATCCCTGGGCTGTCCCCACTCCTGGCCACTGATACCTAGTTCTTCCTTCCTAGTGTCTATTGTTCTGACTACATTTAACCTCCACTAGATCTTAACCACCTAAATTTTGATTCCTGGGCTCTTGCCTCCCAACTCTTCCATCCATCTTTGGCTGATGCTGTAAGTGGTCAGTGGCCAACATCCGGAAGAAATCAATCAGCTGTAGATTCGAGAGCGTGGCTGCTCAGCTCTGTGCTCTGAAGTGGGCATTTTGCTCTTGGAACCCTTCCAAGGCAGGGTGGGATTAAGTCAGCCTCCCTGGTCTCCACCCCAGGTGCTGGTGTCACTTCATTCTCCCAGTCCAGTGTGACAACTAAAAGCTGTCTCAACAGTGCCACATGTCCCTTTGGAGTCAGGGTGGAGGGTTTAAATCTGCGAATAGTTGAAAATATATGTTGGAGGGAAAGCTTGTGCCTTTCATGAATCTGGGTCACAGAAACAGATAAAGTGTGGAATTGGGCATAAGAAAAATGAAAATTAATGTTGAATGTGTTTTTTCCCCCAAAGAATAATTCCTGTGTTTCACAAAGTTGTTAGTGATGGTGATTATTTCAAAATCAAAAGTGAAATGAGAGAACACTTCTCTTCTTGGCTCCTAGAGGGTTGTGTGCGGTGTGGTTCAGAGCCTTGATGAATAGGTAGGTTTGTCAAAGGGCATGTGACCCCACATGCATTATCTCACGCAACCCTTTGAACAGACCTAAGAGATCTCTTGGTGTTTTCATTATGGAGAAGAGAAAACTAGAAAGGAGGCTGACAGCTTGTTAGGAAACTCATCTTAGGAAACACTGGTGCTCTGGTTCTTGGCACTTGGCATCCTTAGCTGAAAGCCCACAGTAATGGGAGTTGGGATTAGTTGTAAATCCTGATTCGCCAATACTACTGTGACTTGTACAGCTGCCAAATATACTCATCAAAAAGTGCCACTGTTACCTCTGACTTGTCACTACTAAGGGACCTTGCTGCACATGATTTTAGGTGTCTATTTCCCATGCGAGGAGTCATTCAAGTAATTCAGCAAAATGATATCATATTGAGAAAGAAAAGGGGAAGGAAGCAAAGAACTGTTAAGTGGGAAACAACTGAGACAGAGAAAGCCCTTGTACCTGCTTCCTGCCCTGCCAAGAGGGGAGGGGAATTTTATGCCACCTTGGTCTTATCTTGACCCAGAAAGCACCAACTGTAACTTGGACACCTGGCTGCCAGCAACTGAAAGTATTGCTAAGGAGGTTTTATGGCATTGATGTAATCAGGCAATCACTATTTAAGTGACTCAAAGTATTGCTAACAGCATGAGTAATGTTACAGAATGCCTCTGTGCCACACTCTTCCCACACACACACACACACAACCCCTTGAAGGTCCTCAGCTTTGAATAACCTGTGATTTTTCTGAAGCATGACTGAATTATTTTTAAGATTGGTGTAAGCAAAATAACCTAGTAACTTAAAGCCAGTAGCTACATGAAAAATACCTCTGCTGAGGGCTGGGAAGGTGACGAAGGGAACATACTACTCTTCAGAGGACTCATGTTCAGTTCCCAGGATCCACAGTCCCACCTCCTGTAACTCCAGCTCCTGGATCCAAAGATCCAATATCCTCTTCTAACCTCAGCACATACTCAACATAGATGCAACATAATTGAAAAATTACAAATAGCTTGGCTATTCCCACCTGCTCTAATCCTCAGAGGAGACAGAACTTTTTTTAAAAGGTGATTTAAAAGATGATCATTTTTCATGAATGGATATGTGCAAAAATTTTTAATAGAAATCAAGAAAAGTTCAAGTGTTCAGATACTTTCCAAGTTCAAAGAATCAGAAGCAAAGCAGGATGTCTTGAGAATTTGTGAGTATCATGTAGAAGTGAAGTCAAAGTGCACTAAGGTATGGTTTAGGAACAAAAAGTGACATGCAATAAAAGGGAAAACTAAGACTTACTGAATACTTACAAAGTAACAGGAACAAAGACAGGCTAAAAATATCAGGGTTAAAGTAATTGTAATCCTAGACATACAGAAGATACCAAAAGAAGGCTCTGTTATTAAATAGGCACCGGCTGGCGTGTCCTTGGGTTAGAGAGCGGGGTGTGGTGTCGACCAGCCCAGAGCGGATTAAAAAATGGGTGATGTTGAGAAAGGCAAGAAGATCTTTGTTCAGGGCCGCGCTGTGGAAAAGGGGGCAGGCATAAGACTGGACCCAATCTCCATGGGGTTTTGGGTGGAAGACAGGTCAGGCCGCTGGATTCTCCTACACAGATGCCAACAACAACAAAGGATCACCTGGGGAGAGGAAACCCTGAAGGAGGGTTTGGAGAATCCCAAAAAGCATATCCCTGGGACAAAAATGATCTTCACTGGAATTAAGAAGAAGGGAGAAAGGGCAGCTTATCTTAAGAAGGCTACCAATGAGTAATTCCACTGCCTTATTTATTACAAAACAAATGTCTCATGGCTTTTAATGTGGACCATAATTTAATTGGTACATCAAAATTGAGATCCTGAGTGGCTAACAATGTTTTTGTTGGACAGTCCCAATTTACGTAAAACTGACTTGGAGTAAAGTGAAAAAAAAAAAAAAATCTTATTTTCTGGGATGGGAGAGATGGCTCAGCAGTTAAGAATAATTGCTGTTCTTCTAAAGGACCAAGAGTCAATTCCCAGCACCCACCTATCAGCCCACAACCTTCTGTAACTCCAGCTCTAGGGAATCTGGCATCCTTTTCTGGCTTCCACAGGCATAGGCATAAATGCAAGCAAAATACCCATATACATAAAATAACTAATTCTTTTTAAACCCACATCCTATCTTCTGTGGACATTATTCCCTTTAGGACAGTGGATCTTACTCACCTCACATTGCAATCTCCTGGTACTTCTGAAGAATGACCCTTGGCATCCTGTTTTTGGTGTAAGTAAAATTGGGCTTAGAAAATACTATGCTACCCTGGTGAATTATTTCCTGTTTTTCTTTTTCTCTCTCTTTCTCTTTTTTCCATGAGTGTTTTGGTCAATAACGACATCTGCAAGGCATGATAGCACATGCCTTTAATCCCAGAACTCAGGAGACAGAGACAGATAGATCTCTGCAAGTTCAAAGTCAACACAGTCTACCTAAGGAGTTCCAAGAGAGCCAGGGCTACATAGAGAGAGCCTGTCTTAAAAAACAAACACCCCTCATCAGATTAATTCATTCATTAATTAAAATGAACTAAGATCTGACTATTGCCCACATTGGGGTTTGGTAGGCATTAAATGTTTAAAAAACAATTGGTGTCTCTTTTAAGAACCATTAATCTGACCTAATTAAGAGCAGTTACCCTAGCTTATGAAAACAAAAAAATGAAACAAACAAACAAAAAAGCTGAGGGTTCATTTGCCCTAAATATCTTATATACAATTGAGAACAAGTGTTTTGGTATTATGAAATGGGTCCATTACAGTTCTGGATGTGACATAAATTCTCACTTGGACAATTTCTTAGGTGACATGGAAGTTGAGGAAAGGACCAAAGGCTAGCTACAAACACCGAGCCAAAAAAAAGTCTTCTTACTCTTAACGTGACTATAGCCAACCCCACCAGCATTTATCCAAGGTTGAGGCTCAGCAGGGGCTGGCGACCCAGGGTGGTTTTGCTCAAATGTCATTCATTGGCTGCTAATGTACTGCATCCAAGCCCGCTGCTCCGTACTCACCCCGCTCTTGTTATTACAGCATGCTCTTTTTCTCGCTGCCAAGGACATTGTTGTTGCCGGGATGACCTGGAAAGGAATATTACGGGAAAGATGAGTACTATCTCTTCTCATCAGATGAAATCCCAGTCATCACCACCTTCCATTTATTGCCCCTTGGGAGAATTCAGGGCTCAGGAGAACGAAAGAGGAAATCTGGCGACGTCCTTGGCTTGTGAACCTTAACATTGGATCGGTTCCAGCCATAAAGATCGAAAGGGCAAGAGTCAATGGCAGTTATGAAGCTTTCTGTCTGCTTTCCTGTTTACCCTGAGCTGGCTACAGCCTCCTGGATTTTAAGTAGAGTAGGCTTATTAGCTCATGAGTTTGGGGAGGAATCTTAAAGATTTTGGTTCTGTCACCCCGTTTCCCTTTTCTCTCTTCCCCACTCCACCTTTCTCTCTTCTGGTATGGCTCCCCTCCTTCTCCTTAAGCTACTATAACCCGCAGCCATATCTCATTTCCTGTAAATTAAGCAAGTTAATCCAGAAAGAAGGAAATCGACATTGTTTGCCTGCATTCGGTAGGGACCAGTTCAAACCATCCCCAATTGCCCCACTTTCTGCACCCCAGGCCACCATCATCTTGCGAAGTATTCTCAAGCCTGTATTTGAGAATGACTGTTGGGCCCCATGCTCTTTTCTGCTCCTGTATCCCTAATATTTACTGATTGTACTTTATACTGGTGCTTAGAAGTCTTTGGGGTTTTTTGTTTGTGGTTCATTTGTTTGTTTGAGACAAGATCTTGCTATGTATAGCCTTGGCTGGCCTGGAACTGACTATGTAGACCAGGCTGGCCTCAAACTCACAGAGATCTGCCTGTGGCTGCCTCCTAAGTACTGGGATTAAAGGCAGGCAGAAATTTAGTATATATTGCATTGTATGCTGCTGAGGAGAGCTGTAAATGGTATCACATTCTTAACAGTTTTCTATTTTTAAAAAGAATGAGGTATCAGCTCTGAGTGGAAACTCCTCACTAGGAGTTTGGTATTATTGAAGGACAGAATGTCAGTTGCTTCCTTCCACTTGTCCGTGTTCAGCTGTGACAAGCTGTGTTCAGTGTTTGCCAGCCCAGCCTGGGCACCCTGGAATGGTTCTGCCACTGTTCCGCCTTGCGAACATGACCAGGTTCTGTAACTATGTAAGAGCTGTTAATCAGAAGTTGATGTCCTTGTCACAGTCCTCAGATGGAGCACTGGTGTGTTTCTTATCTCGCTCCCCCATTTTACCACTCTCAAGTCAAATGGGGCAAGTCTGAGGAGCTTGCCTAACAAAGTCGGAGAGATCGGAGCCAAGCTACACCTGTGATCTCTAACCCATTGCCCCACACTGACTGGTTCTTAAAAGCCATAAAGCCACCCATTCTTGTCTCCTGGCACCCCACCACCCTTGCTCTTCTCAGGCTCCCTCTAATTGTTCCTTCCTCCATTCTCTTCCAAAGACACATCTACCTGTTTTTTTTAGAACAGATTTATGTCTTTCATAAGGCAGCTTTCCCAACACATGTCACCCCATCCAATCCCATGCTGACTCCATGTCACTCCATGTTGCTGAGCTTTGTTCATCCATTGAGTACTGCTCCTTTTCCAATTCAGAAGCCACAGTACATATGGTTGCCCAGTCATCCCTATGCATAACTGAAAGCCCGGAAAGAAAGGGAAAATAAATCTTTGTCATCATTTATACACTGGTGAGTATACACTCCCCGCCCCTATCACCTCATTTTTATAAATAAAGTTTTATTGGAATCCTATCTCATTTGCATAATATCTGTAGCTGCTTTTGCATTAAAATATTAGGACTGAATATTCCTAAGCATATTTGAGTGCATGAGGTTTTGTGAAATTCAGTCTTTTGGTTTTATAAATAATTACCATTCAGTTTCTTGGCAGGAAGCAATGTTTTCCTCCAGTTTTAAAAATGGTACAGTTTCAGAAGGAAGCTTCAGTTTCACAAGAGCCTTAGTTAAAAACTGTGATAGAAGTCGGACTATGGGGAATCCTCTAGGCTCTTGAACACGAGAACAACATGCAAAGCCCTAGCTCAGCATGAACATAGAAGCTCTGGTTTGTAAAGGTTTTGCATGCAATCTTCTAATCTGTTTGACTTGAAGCCATTTGTTTTCCATTAAGATTTTAATAACTGGTTCTGACAAATTATCCTTATGTAGTCAGTAAAATCAATAAAAAGGATGATTAAGACCAGACTTATAATTAACTCTATATAAAGTAAAAGAGCTTTTATGTTTGTATTTTCCAAGGGACATTTTAAAGTACTATAAATGCTTGATCAAGTCACATTTATATTGACGTTTCCCCACGCCTTAGTAGATAATGTTAAAGATAATTAACTCTGTGATGTTTTACTTGGTTACAGTTTCCAAAGATCAAAAAGGTTCACCTCTGATTGAGGTTGGTCCTAAAATCATAAAATAAATGACTTCATAAAGTAATCCGTCATGGGCCCCAGAGTTTGTGTTTGTAGTTTGTAGTTTTTCTGTAAAAAAAATCCCCCTTTCTGAAGAGATCCTAATCCTATTTGAAATGTAGCAACTTCCCAAAGGTCTCAAGGGCTATGACCATATGCTCAGCACACTTAGGGAAGTCTTCCTTACAAACTGTCCTGAGAGAAACAAAATAGACTTAGTTGTAGTACAAGGAGTCCAGATTCTCTGAAGTGTTTCTCGGGTGTTGTAGACCTTTCTATGACTCAGCTTCCTGGTCCTTCTACTTTATGGATTTTATCTTTGACCCCTGTGGGCCTGAGACAGGGATTAAAAAGCATGCCATTTAACTAGCTTTGGCATTAGATAAATCTAGAACTGGGTTTCACACCCATCGTGTGATCTGGGTAACATTCTCAACCTTCTGTTTTTCTGGCCTATAAAGCACAAGTGATAATTGCAGCCAGGAAGACCGCAATGAAACTGCATCCCCAGCAGGGTGTCAGCAAGCGAAAGCTCTGTGCCTCTCTTGTCATTGTTGGTCTGTCTAGTCTCTCCTCTGGCTCCTTGCTTTCTCAAAAATAAAATAAAATAAAATGCACAAGAGATGTAAATGGCCCCCCGTTCTCTTTAATACTCAGATCCTTGAAATGTTCTCTCCTATGCTTTGGGGAAATGCCAGTTCATGTCTAGAGATAGCTGAGTTTTTTTTAAACAGCCTGTCTCAGCTGGGGCACCCGTGGGAGCTTTGCAGAAATTGCCTAGCTCAGATGCACTCTGTAGGCTTCTGACTCTGCTTGTACAGGGTGCAGGGGAGGCCAGGGAGCCTCCAGAAGACAGGGTGCAGGCCTGATGCATTGCTTTTGCTTCACACTGGTCAGCCTGGAAGAGAGCTGTCATGACAGTTCGAAAAGGTGGCCCAGATTTTGTGAAAGCTTTTCCTGTGCCTGTGCCTGCCTGAAGTAGATGGCTAGATCAGCGGTTGGCAAAGGAAAAGCCATCAGCCTGTGGGGAAGGCTTCTTGAATGGATTTGCAGTGCCCGACAGGTTTAAACCCAGGGTGTCAGCCAAAGGGCACAGTTTTATATACAAAGTTTTATATACTGTGGCCTAATAGGTTTTGTTGCTTAGGGTTCAGGGGTTTGTTTTGTTGGCTGTTTTCTATTTTAGGGCTGGTTGGTTGGTTGGCTGGTTGGATGGCTGGGTGGGTGGGTGGGCTTTTTGAGACCCAATGTCATTATATAGCACAAGTTGACTTCAGACTTGGCAATCCTCTGACCTCACTCTTTCCAGTGGTAGAATCCCAAGTGTATGTCACCATACTCGGCTCTAAGAATGTTTTTTTATGCAAGCGTAAGGAGAAACCAGTAGGAGAAAACTGGTCTTCACTAGGAATTAATGACCCATTGGTGGGAGAGACAGCTCAGGAATTAAGAGCTCGGTACAGCTCTTGTGAAGAACCTAGGTTTGGTTCCCAGCACCCATATCAGAAGGCTTACAACTTCTTGTAACTCCAGCTCCAGGAGACCTTATGCCCTCTTCTGGCCTCCACAGGCACTGCATTTATGTGAAGAAACCCAAAAACACATATACATGCAGAGTGTGTGTGTATACATTACATATACATTATATATATATACATGTGTGTGTATGTATACACGTGTGTATACATGTATATATTATATCTTATAAATACAGTGATTCAAGGCTTGTTTGTTCACTCAGATAAGCAGAGCAAGACTCTCAGTGTGGGTAAAGGAGAAAAAAGAATGAAATGAAGAAGGGGGTAAGACACTTCTGCCAATAATTAGATCCAACTAATTAGATACAAGTAGAGAACTCCTTTTTTATGTTCTTAGTTTCTTTAAGAGTTACTTCTGTGACACCTTATCTACAGAACCCTTGTAAACATTTGTAGCTCTCTCTCTCTCTCTCAAGCTCATCTCTCTCACAGTAACTATACCCACTGTTTCACAACACAAGTTATAGAACAAAAGCAAGTTCCTAGGTGCTGAGTTGCCAATTTCAGCATCCCTAAACCTGTCACACAGGGACTAAAACAGAGCACTAGGATACCTGATTTAGTAGTCGTACTATATCAGAGACAGACCATAGGCTTTCGTATTCTTCCAGATCTGAAAAGTGGACTCTACAAGTGCCTTCTGCCAGACTAGCTGCCTCAGGATTTCTAGGAGAAAACTGACTCAGCAATGCTCTAACAGTTCACTGTCAAGAACTCAGGAATTCTGTGTTGTACCACTCTACACCCGATTTCAACAAAGACACCTGCCCCTTCAGTATGCTCAAACTGTAAGACTGTGGCATTCTGGGATCTATGCAGGAGCCAAAACAAACGGCCTGTGAGGTCAGATACTGCCTTAATTCCTTCTCTATTGCTGCAGTAGGACACCATGACCATCGCCAAGCCGCTTACAATAGAGACCCAGGATTTTGACCTGTATGTCTTGGACCAGCTCCCTTGAGAAGCAGGCTGAGTCTCACTGTGCCATCTCTAAGACCACCCAAGCACAGAAGGCTTTTTAGTCCTGTGGAGTGGCTTCCCACTTCTTCCATGTTCCCTATAAATACCTGCAAATCAGAATGGGACAAAGAAAAAGATGAGGCGATGGATTAAAAGATATCCCACAGAGCAGGGGTGTAACTTGGTGCCTTAGAATATGTAAAGCCCAGAGTTCTGGTACCACATTTAAAAAAGAAAAAAACTGAAATTCCTTAATATCAAAACAATAAGGTTCAAAAGTGTCATTGCACCTGTGAAAAAAATGATGTAGGTAATGAATTAACCAACTTCTGTCAACTTCTTGCCTTAAGGTCTCTGCGATGGACCATAGTTTTCCTTATGTAAATTATCAGTCTTCAGACTATAACAGTACAAACAAATGGCAAACTGGATTTCTAACCGTATCCTTTGAAGACATAGTTGACTGCAAGGCTGAAAGTCACACTTAAGACATTGGTTAAAAAAAAAAAATAGTACACCCTTCTCCAAGTCAAGTCGGGTAGGCATTACTCACCATCAGGCCTGCTCCTATAATTCCTGGGAACCACCATTCATAGCAAGAGATGGGGTTCTGAGAAGCTGAGTCTCCCTCCACTAAGCTGATACCCAGAGGTATACAGTTGATGACCACTCCTAACACGACCAGAATCAGCAGGCTGAAGCCATTGCAGGATGTCCACCCTTCACAGCACGTCATGGTCTTCCTGATGCAGTGAGAACCCTCCTCAGAGTGCCTGGGCTTGCGGAGCTCTGCCTGGTCTTTTACCCCAGTGCTCTGGTTAAAGTTTAGCACTTATGAAAAATGAGTTTCGGAAAGCAGTTCCAGTTCAGAGTCCAGTAGGGCAGGAAGTTATGAGGATTATGACGGGAACCACTAATCATTTTATATTATGATGGGATGAAGGAAAACAGAAAAAAAAAATCTATGGTTTCTATGTGGTGAATTTACACACGAATATAAGCAAGTAAGAAAACTGACAAAAATGGGCTTGTTTGTCATAACTCTTCCAAAATATTCCTTTACTGATATGCCTTGTAAAAAGTAAGAAGACAAGCGTATCCAATTAGAATAAACTACTTTTCATTTGTCAACACTATTATGTATGAAGTATCTTTATTTTGGAGTTATTCAGTGAGAGTATGAGCATGTGTAGGATTAGGAAAATATTCCTCCTCTCAGGAGAAGGGATTCCTCTTGATTATACTACATATTAGTGTTCTATTTCAGGCTTTTTCTTCACATGAAGCATTTTTAATTCTGAATTAGTCCAGTCTTGTAAATGATTTGCACACAGCCCACCTATGACATCTGGAAAGTCTGGCTAACGTCACTGGAAGAAAACCATGGAAACCACCGATATGGAAACCATGACAAAATCAACGGTAGGGAGACTGGAGAGCAGATGATGGTGTCTGGCTTTATCAGACCTTGAACCGTGTACCAGTTTCTCTTTAGAGACTGCAGCTCTGTGCTCTCTCCCGCTATCTTGTGACTTCCTCACAGAAAGACTTAATCAAATGCAAAAGTGCTTGTTCATGTTGCGCAGTCCCCAAAGCCCACAGGAGGCTTCACTGATGGTGGGTTGCCCGAGAGACATAGGTGAGTAGCAGCGACAGCTGCATCCAGGCTCCCACATACACTGACGCTATGCATTGAAAGGCAGCTGCTCTCGTTACTGCCTGGACTTGCCTGCTCCATTTCTGTTCACTCGCTGGAAGATGAGTCATTGGGCTACACCTGACTATGAGTGGGTAGTAAAATTCAAATGAGTATATCCAGGAGAAACACTCAAACATCAGCCAGCTCGATCTACCTGTCTGTAACACCCTCCTTTCATTCCCAGAGCACGGATTCTGCAGATGCTCTTGGAGACGATAAGGGTGTACATCATCGTGGAACCTGCTGGATTTGCTGGGGATGAGGGAAAACAAGTGTGCTTGGAGAGGAGCGGCTTGAGTGACCTCTCAGTGGCTTTCTACATCTTGATTTCTGCCTTACAAAGAACAACTAGAGTCCTATCCTGTAGTCCCATAATAAGCCCTACTCTTTTTTTGGCTTCTATTTTTCTGTAACCACGAGAGCTAAAGCCAGAAGGCTACTAAAACCAGCTGCTGGAAAGTATGCTCATTCTTTGTCACATAGTTTGACAAAAGCAGGAGTCCAAATGCTCAGAAGAGAAGAGTTTATTCAGATGAGCTGCAAACCAGTGTTCTGTTACGCTTTGAAAATGGCTAAAATTTGACAAAGGGGTGGTAACAGAAACATTCTTGTAACCATGTCAGCCACTTACAAAAAAAAATCACAGTTCTTCTGTCTGTGTTAAGTGAGAAGAGATTCCCTTGAGAGATTCTGTGTGCAAAATTGCTGAAAAGGCCAGAGGAAAGGCCAAGGTCTTAGCTTGTCTGCAGGAAGCCTTCCGAGGACGTGACAACTGAACTACCTGAAAGGAGCCGCTGCCTCCGCTGCTTTCAAAAAGGCAGAAAAACCAGGCAGCTGCCCCTGGAATAAGCAAGTCCAAGCACACACTAATTTAGGTGGAGGTCAGGAGAGCAATGCCACAGTTTTCATCAGTGCCCTACGGCACACTCCAGGCTGTGGATGAGCCCTGGAACACTGACCTTACCCATTTCAACTGCAAAACACATGAAACACAGAAGCCATGAAACACGGAGGATTCAGGGTCCAGCATATGCCTTTTCAACAGCGATAGACAGAGGAACGAGAAGGTAGCCTTAGTTTGTCCTGCTTTCCGTTTCTCACTCAAAGGTCCATCTTGTCGTTGCTTATCTTAGCCGTTGCAGAGGATGCAGTGGACCCTGGGGAAAGTGTCCCCCTTTGTTGTACAGGAAGGACAACCAGAAAGACACTGAAATGGGTAATAAACAAGACAGTTCACCAGGACTAACATAGCTACCTTATTAAATTGTATGGCGAAAACTTGTTAGATTATCTAGGTTACAACACCAGATCGTTTGACAGCGGTTTGAACCGTGTTTGTGCTTGTGAGTCTAGAATGACATGTAATATTTTTAAAATAAGTCAGGGCTCTCCCGCTCCTACTGTCTTCTCAGCCCTCTGTCTCTGAAGCTTTACCCCTTGTAAATGGTTCACATGATGTCAAGCCAGGCCTCAACCGTGCAGTCTGCTGCCTGACCTGTTGAACTACCCCAGCAAGAATTCACGGATGTAAATAGGTAGTAAATACTCACCAAAGCTAACTTAGCGTGTCTCCTGAAATCGATCGAGAGTCTTGACAGAGCAGCGGCTATCCATGACACGCATGCAGCGTAGGTAACTACCGAGACATATATATGAATATATGTTTATGGATTTTCTCTCATATTATTGCTCATTTCCGCACTTACACAGTTCTCAGCCCTACCCACTTACAGCTAAATAAGCTCACATGACTACTTTCAACCAATGGAAAGACAGGAAAAGAAAACCATGTCACCGTCGAGCCAAATTTCTTTGCAAGCACTGGGCTCTTTCTACCTTGTTGTCCACCACAGACTGGGAACAACGAAACTGTCTTAGAAAGTCATGCGTTGATCATGTCAACACCTTCTTCAGCCAAGCTCCTGAATAACCGAATGGAGCCTTTGGCTCATATTCCCTTCTGCCCACCTAAAATTACCCAGGATTATTGACATCAACCAGAAAAAAACTTCTGTTCCATTGACTCGCTGTACATTTTTATGTCTATTTGTTTTTGTAGCTTTCATTTCTGTATTAAATTCTGTCTTCTTATAACTTCACTGGAATTTGCAACCTGTGTTGCCAAAAGATCAATTCCAATAGTCTTCAAAAAAAATATCAAATCAAAGACAGTGACACATGGTATTTTTCCATTGTTTTATTAATAAATTATATTGGGGAAGGAAGGAAACACTTTTAAGTTAAGACACATGGAGTATACAACCAAGGTAAGCAGACATAAAAGTACAGGCATTCCATCAAAAGTAAACCATCTAAAAACAATAGGTTATATTAAGATCACTTTCCCTCAGCTGAGATCATTAATGTGGATTTTTCTGGACCTTCGTGAAGTCCTGTTTTTGTTACAATGCAAATTACAATTGACAGTTTATAGTGGGCTGAGGGTGAATTTTAAAATATAAATACATTATAATGCTCCCTGCATTTAAGTTAGCAATATGAGTATCAGGAATTAGAAAAGAAAAAGTAGAAGAGGTCCTTAGACATTCTGAGTTCAACTTTATTATTTCATCAATAAATGAGCAAGTTCAAGAAGGCTGAGTCATTTATCCATGGTTAGGCATCTCCAGCAAAACATAGATTGATTTTAGTCTCCTGCTTTCTACTCAGATATATTTCTATTAACCCTTACAGCTTGATATCTGGGTGAAGTTGGAGGGATTATAGCACATCCACATCTAACACTCTAAGTATATGAGCCTGGATCCTAGCATCACCTGCCTAGAGGCCAGAAGGCCAGCAGCCATGCTAGCAGCAACACTTCTGGCAGCAGCACTTCTGCTGGCAGCAGCCCTTCCCACAGCCACAGCCACAGCCACAGGAGCCACAGCCACAGCCACCACAGCCACAGGAGCGGCAGCAGCTGCGGCGGCAGCAGCAGACAACCACAGGTTTGCAGCAGCAGCAGCCACAGCAGCCGCAGCAGCCGCCGCAGCCACCACAGCACCTGTAGCACCTGTAGGTGGTGCAGCTGTTGCAGCCACCACAGCCTCCACAGCCACAACCACCACAGCTGCCACAGCCACCACAGCCACAGCTGCCACAGCCACAACTACCACAGCTGCCACAGCCACCACAGCTGCCACAGCCACCACAGCCACAGCTGCCACAGCCACAGCCACCACAGCCACAGCTGCCACAGCCTCCACAACCACAGCAACCCATGGTGTCAGTAGGGAAGACTCAGGTCAAATGAGCAGAAGAGTGACTTGGGAGAGGAGAGGTTGGTCTGACGCCTTCTTCTGCTGGAGGCAGGGCTTATATACCATCTTAAGGCAGGCACGACCCAAGCATGTGGTTTCTATTGTTTACCTCAGCTTCCTTGAGAGACTTCTTCAGCACTTCAGGTTTATTTCCTTCTTCGGGAACTTTGCCCTCACAAACAGCTTATTTTTAGCTACGGATTTGTTTTGAAAGTATATTTACGTTTGAGCTCTGGACTAGTTTGCTTACATACTATTGTCTGCATGGCCAACGAGAGGCTCACTGTCAAGTTTGTATTTGAACCTAGCTTTTACTAGACTCTTGAGACCAACCCTTTCCCACAGTCTTTCCATGTCGTCACCGATCTCTGCAGAGATGATGCAAAGAAATACTGTTTTAGGATCTGCCAATCGGAGGCCTCCAAAGTAACATTTCCAGAATGTACACGAACTTGCCACATGCATGCAGTAGCTTGGGTTTGATCCTGGCAGTACAAAGGATAAATAGGCAAGGGGTTTTTGGTTTTGGTTGGTTTTTAAGAGAGATAGTGAAAAGTCACCTCAAAACTTAGCAGAAAGAGGAATCTCCCGGCATTTTACCATGACACCTGGAGCTGCTGTACTATGAACCACATGAAGTCTACCTGAAGATTAGGTCTTGACACATCTAGACAGCGTCAGCCCTGTGCCTCCTGGTCACATGGGCGACAGTATTTCCCTGCGGTATGGTGTCCTTCTATGGCATCATAATTGGGACAGCGGGAATAGTAAGAAAACAAAACAGTGTTAGAAGACCCTTGAAATACACCCAAGAATGAAGTACAAGTATATCTCCCTTGTAAGCTTAGTCTCTGTGCCTGCAGGAACCTGCACTGCAGCCACAGTGTCTGTGTAAGCTTATATTTCATTATTATTATTATTATTATTATTATTATTATTATTATTATTATTATT